AAATTCATCTGACGCCCTCCACTCTAATAAAGTTTGTTGGTGAACCGTATAGTTTACAGGTACATACAGAAATTCCCATTCGACTGTTAAAGCTCCGATAATACGCCCTAAAGGATTTTAAGGTTGGTTGTCAATAAATCAAATAAATAGTTTATGTGCATTACCAGACTTGGGCTTTGTTTATTGATTGTGTTCACGACATGTTTAAATCTTTAAATTGAGCTGTTTTCGCGTTTCTAGTGACGTGCTCCTCGTGTATGGATTGTTATTTAGCATGCATTATTGTACAGCTATACAATCATTTTAAATAGGTTCTTTAGCATTTGTATATCTGTTTAAACAAATAGGAATAAATTACTGCATAATGTAGTACTTGGAACTGTAATGGCAACTATTTACCAACATAATATTATGTGCCTAAAGAATGTGTATGTGATCGTATAATTGTTTACGTATGTTTGTTATATCAGCATCTAGTAATGTTTTGTTTATATGGCGGCAACTATTTTGCATAGGTAATGGTGTGACTTAATGTTTTCTTAATGTCTATGTGTTTAATGAACTTCGCTAAGAACCTTATAATAAAGTATTATTTTTCACTCGTTCATTGTTGGTCTGAATACAGTTGTCAAATCGACACATTTTTTTTTATAGTTACCACCTCAGCAACACTACAGTAAATTACTATTAAAACATTTTTGATTCACGTATTAAAAAACACTGTTGTACACAAATTTGATTTAATTTTGTTACTTTTACACAATGTACTCTCCAACCAAAACTTATGGAACTTAATCTATATATTTTATCTCCGTCTTTATCCACATTTAATCAAAATCTTATTAGAAAATCCTTCGAACCTTGTACTATCTTGTTAGTGTTTTATAGGTTTTATCGGATTTTAGAAAATTCCTCAAACCGTAGCGGAAGGTTTAAGGTTTTATAGGGCTTTTATAATTCCGTTAACCGCTTACGTTTACGGGTGCCGCGGCTAGTTTTTGTGAACGACGGTCAGACCGGTGTGGCGCGAAATTTACTTCCCGCCAAAACTGGTCGTGCCGACCATGATGGCCGCCTTCTAACTACTCTTTATTACAACACCGACGGTTTAGACAATGTTCCGAATCAGGGAGCAATTAATTTAGTTTCCCGTAGAAGTTTCGATAGCTGCGCCGGACTGGCTAGTTACTCAATATGAATAACTGCAATTAAACGTTGAATATAATCAGCTATTGTGTTTTAAACAAACCATGTTGATTGCGTGCCTACCGCAGGTAGACTTGGGCAGTTACATTCTGAGGTAGTGGTGGGGTTCAATGAGAAATAGTCCCGGTATACAAGTGGTGTGATGGTTTAACGTACGAAATTAATACATCCAAAATCAAAGGTATCAGAATAGTTTAGCACAACATTATGTTTAAGAGTGGATTTAAAAACACTCTAATTTTTTTGTTTAATTTTATGGATTATCAAAAAAATATTTGTCATAATATACCTATGACAACTATGCAAAATGCGTTTCAATTTTTCCTTTTATTAATATTGTTTTGCATCAATTCTAAAGACCTTTTAACTAAATAAAACCGCCTGTCTATAATGCATTACTATTGTATATTAACCACATAATAGAGAGCGCACAATACATCTTCCACGTAAAAATCGAAGAAAAAGAAATGTTTACTGTACAAGAAACATTCATCAAATCACTACTAAACTTTGACAATAGGGCGAGATTACCATTGATGACCAGCCAAAATATCACTGTCCGAAGATTGTCCTTTGGAAAATTAACGAAAATCAATTTGAAATCATAGTATATGAATGTTATGTAATTTGAATTATGGAAAAGTTAGTTTTATTTATATCTAAAAATGAATCATGTAGTTATTCAGATGTGTATAGTGCTAGTAATATAATATAAATTTTCAATCAGACTATGAAAGTTGATCAATTTGTTTCCTGCACAACAGTGTTAGAGTTAAGGTAAACATATTTGACAAAATTATAGTATAAGGTACAGTTAAACTTAAAAAAATAGCTCAATAATGATTGAACAAATGAGTTTTAAATCAACTTTCTAGATTGAATATAATTATATTCTTAGTATAACTTTTGGATAATTTACGATATTTTAGAAAGAAAACTTGGTTTAATTTTGGTGAATATTGTTTTTCAGCCAGGCAGGGACAAATTTGGTAAGAAACCTGGAAACAGTTAAGCTGAAAACCATTATTTACTAAACATACTCTTAAAGAGACTACAACAGGTGGTTGTACAGAAGGCGGATAATACACTACCGGGCTGTATATTGTGCAAATTATCCAAGTGATCGATCGCTATAAATCATTATATAAAATGTGACTTATGGCAAACATTTGCCGTTTACGCATTTATAGGGAAACAGGCTTAGAAATCTTCGAGGATATAGAAGAATATAACCACAGACAAATATAGTCTGTGATATAACTCAATAAAACAATACTGTTGTTCATCTATGTAAAAAGTTTTTTGTCATGAGAAATAAATATGAGTTGACGGTTATTTTTTTTACAAAAAAAATTATGTTACTTAGTAGATACTAATCTCAAAGAATAATAAAAATGACACTGGATGAATTTTAAGCAATGATAAGTATAACTTAATGTTTTTGAAACATCATTGAACACAAACAACAAAGTTATTAAAAATATATTTATACAAGATTGTAGATTAAATTTATATTTTAAATATTATTTAAATTATATTGCTAACCAACATTCAAAGAAAAACATTAGCTTTTAACAGTTTGTAAATATTGTTTTGATTAATTACTTACATTAGGACCCGTGTTAGAAAGGAAATATTATTATAACTTATATTAGTCAAATCAAGTAATTAATCAAGTAAATAATCATGGCGATGTTATTTAGAAATATCTGGTCTGTTTTAGAAAATACATTCTGACCTACACTAAACTAATCTTAACAAATGAAGCTAATATTATTATTTAGTTGATATAAACACCGGAAGGTTTTTGGATCAATATTTTACTTATAAAGTGCGATATTACTAAGATATAAACTTTATGTTAATGTTTCAACATTATTAAGATGCATTCAACATTAAATCATTTGAATAGACTGTCAATAATTGTTTTACGGAGTTATTAATATGTAAAATGATCAACACCTCGGTACTCTTCAGTGAAAAATGAAATAGTTTGCCTGACAACAATTTTGGTCTTAGCTTAAAGTTATTTAAATAATATTTAGGTTTTTGTAAGCAGATTATATATTTTGAAACCGTAACTACGCTATTCTCATTCTTGGTCTTATTGCTGTACGTGCTTTAAGTTTTTATATAAAATAAAATAAATAAGTCGTCAGTTTATTCAGTAAGAAATCAAACAAATCCATCTTTACATGTAGCTGTATGGAAGACAAAACCTTATCTGTTCCTTGCGTTTTAAACGTCAAAGTTATATGATCGTTGATCATTATGGTGATTTATGGGCTTGTTATCGAATCCAACTGATATGAAGCATCATGGCTGGGTATCTTCAACATTTTAAGCAGGTTGTAACAATTATGTAGACTACCAAATAGGGTTTGGTTGTATGTTTTACCTAACAATGTCCAAAGACCTCAAAGCTATTAAGACTTTTGACAATTCTTTATGTTGGGTTTTTAATGTAAATGTTGCTATATAGAAGATGAAACTTATCTATTTCTTGTGCGTCTACATTAACTTTATCTATAATGTTTATATGTGATATTCAAAATTCCTATTGCGATAGGAACGGTTAGATATTGATGACTGAGTAACAAATAAACACAAACTATGGCCTATTGTAAAAAAGGCTTATAACTATTTATATTGTTGTTTCCGTAACATTTTGGCAGATTCTAATTTTAAGCATTTTTTAAATTGTCTGTTTAAAATGTACTGGAGTTGATGCTCTGGCTGGAATTATTAAGTTGATGTTTTAGAGCAACAAAGAAAACAGTAATCTCAAAGTTTTAAATTTCACGGGATTATTTGTGAAATTCTAATGTAAAACGGTTAAAAGCAACCATTTTCTTTTATTTTGTGAATCTCATCTATTTGTTACACTAATTTTTGTTTGTTAGTAGATGGAAAATCTTTAAGCGTGGCTATTGAATTCAAGAAGTGGAAAACATTGTACTTTTTCTTAGTCTGCCTACTTCATCAGTAAAAATTATGACAAATAATTCAAATAGCAAAACATTGATCATAATGGAACTTTTTCACACATGTTTCACAGCCAAATAGCATATTGAAGCAACGTCCATGTATGCATATTTTGTTTATACTTTCGTATGCTCAATTGTTCCTGTTTATGTATGATTCCCCAGCTTCAGTGCAAAACTACGCTACCTTAAAACTAAACCACTTATGACTAACTTAGTAAAATGTGTGGCATAGTAATAATTCATGTTCACTGCAGCTCTAAACTATCCCGTACGGCCAACCCTGTATAAATCTAAGGAAAAGAATTTAGCCATATTTCATTTAGCACGATAATAAATTACCAACACAATTAAAGATCACAGGAACAGAGTTTTTATCTAACTGATAGGGAAACCAGTTTAAGAACGCCGCAGAGGGGCAACAGAATGTTGTGTTATCTATGAGTGATTTAATGTATTTCACTCGCCTTCTCCAATTATAAGTGATATATGTGTTTCAGGGTTACACGCATGTGTTTAGCGGGTCTCCTACGGGATGCGAGTGATCTTTCTACTTATTTATGGTAGATATAAAGCTTGTTAAAGTCCGGTTTTATTTTACTTTTATTTTGAACCGCTCGTAAAATTATGATTAAGCTGTTGGATGGAAAGCCCACTCACAGTCCAGATGCGGACTGGCTGTTTGAGTTATTTCCTAGTATTATCAGGTCTATTCTGGATGCGCTAATTATATTTCGCATAACTGAACTCATAAATTATTAGATATTTCCCTTGCTATATACGGAGTAGGTATGTAATAACAAGGCCAGATAAGTTGCAATGGGATTTATTCATCAGTCTCCCACGATACGATAGTGAATAATACATTATACTGACTTAACAAAATATCACACTTTTAAGGTTTCAGTCATTAGGACAACATGACCTTGATCTGTTCCTAAATTACATATAGACAGTAGAAAAATAAGTTATAATACTCTAAAAATGCATCTTTAGGAAATATAAAACATTTACTAACAGTAAAAAGTAATCACAAATAAATAAATTAGCTTATTTGAGGGCAGCAAAAATTACAAATAAATAAACTTTGTAAAAACGTTACACATTTTAGAAAATAACCTAACCAAATAAAATTTGCAAAATACAAAATTACAAAGTCAAAATTCTATCTACTGATCAAAACTTTAGTTTAAATCTTTTCGACAATTTCGTGCATAGGCCCTATGCAGATGATTATAAAATCACAACAATAAAATTACATGAAATTAGTGCTATAAATAATATATTAGCTTCTATCCGTAATTTATGATAAATAAAAACTCTATTAAATAAACAAAGGCAATTCAAATAATTGAACATAGAAATAAAGTTAGTATAATTAATTATTTTGGTAAATTTTCTGATAAAAATACAATAAAACCCTACTTTTTTTGAGAGATTAATAGACTATAAACGCTTTCCAGAAAATAATTATGTCAATACCACAAAAACCAATATTTTATCTGAATACTAAAATGTAATATGTTTAACTAAAATAAAAATTGGTTTTAAAAGTGAAAATCATCATGAGGTTATATTAATACCCAATAAAACCACGCTAGTCAATCAAGTCACCGATAAAAGAAATGGGATAAACAATACATTACTTTTGATCTCTCAAAACTTTACCATTCTAATAAAATATGAGTTTAACTTTAGATTCGACGAAATTTACAATTACGATAAAATTAATTTATTAATTACTTTTACACACCAAAATAAAATTTAAAAACATTTCTCAAAATGAAAATACCAGAAAATAGTATTACTTGATAAAAGATCATAACAAACTAAAACTAAAGCTAAAATATCAACATCAAATTTCTTTCATAGGCCTATTTTGTTTTAGGGATAGCACGCAAAATCTCTTATTGATAATAAATTTATAAACATCTAGCCCTCAAAATAATTAGAAATATTAGAATTAAAGTAATTTTTAATAAGTTTTGTAGCGAAAAAAGGTTTTAAATCTTTAAAACTTTAAATTTGTTCAAGATTCTACAAAAGAATTAACCGATCAGCACCATGTTAACAAGCGAAGTATAAATAAAAATACATCCGTCTCGAATTGTTAAATAACAATATCTATACAAGGAATTCATTTACTACACAATAATAGTGACTCAAATATAAATTAATATATGACTCTATAAATGGCGACTTAAAAAATCAACAAATGTACAAAAAGAATACAAAACGAAATATACTACGTATTTATACTATTTACAGAACGATTTCGCACTTTATACATATTTAACACGCACAAAAGAGTTACCTTTGCTGTTTGGGTATCCACTATCCACAATCCACACTAGATGTGTATGGCGACGGACCGGCTGGTGTTGGTGTTGTTGTGGTGGCTGTGGTTGCTGTGGTTGCTGTGGTTGTTGTGGTTGTTGTGGTTGTGGTTCCTGTTGTTGTGCCTGTGGACGTGATGGTGATGATGTACCACGTGGTTGTTGTGGTTACTCCTCGTCCTCTGATTGTTCGGCACATCGGGCAACGCGAACTTCAGCTTCTCCCAAAACAGTTTGTCCCCCCACTGTAAGTACGTATTAGTTTTTAAATAAAGTCTAATATCCGGATCGAGATCCTTTTGAGGCACTTCGCCTAGCAATATCACAATAAGTCTTTTTCTCCTGTCCCTGAGGACTTGGTGGTGCGCGGATTTGAACTCGAACCGACACCACTCGGATTTGATGAAGTTTTCTGAAAGCACCATAATTGTCCTCCGCGACGATTCTACCGCTTGCACTATGGTGTCGGCTAAATAGCCGTTCACGGGGAACTCTCGGTAGTGGAGACACAGTTTATATGGGGGATCCCCGTTTTCGAGCATGGGCGCGAGTTCTTCCGCGACAAACGCTTCGTCCTTCGAACTGTAACTGACGAACGCGTCGAACAGTTTGTCACGATCGTCCATCTCGATCTCACTGGTCTTGTAAAACAGTCTGACACCGAACCGCGAATGGAACCACACTCGCATTTCTTGACGGTAGATAAACACTATTAGGGTGAACACTATGATGAACGAGGAGGCAACCAGGGTGACGATGAGCAGGGGAAGGTAGCTCTGGAGTTCTCGATGTTGAATGATAGTGGTGGATGTGTAGTTCTCGTTGACTGGGGGACTCTCTACGAAGTTGGTGATGTTGATGGTGACACAGGTGGTGAGGTTGTCTCTGAGCAAGTAGAACCCAACATCAGGCTCATCCTCCAACACCAACGAGTTGTTGCTACAGCGTACGTCAGCACTGTCGATCACTGCTGAGCCAGTGTAATGCAGGTACTCCCTGAACCTCTCCGTGTACTCGCACTCGCAGGACCATGGGTTGGAGGATAGGCTGATCTGTACCAAGGCAGAAGACAGCTGCCACACTGCGAAGTGGGTAATCCTGTTGTGGTCCAGCCTCACTATCCTTAGTTCCATGAGGTTCATGAAAGTAGCGTTGTGGATTGATGTGATTTTATTATTCTGCAAGTACAGTTCTCTGAGACTTTCTAGACCTTCAAACTCGTAACCTTTCAGTTCCGATATTCTGTTATTATCCAATCTCAAAAGCTCCAAGACCTTCAAACCATTGAATGTCCTGTTATGAATAATTTCCACATTAGAATTATTCAAAAACAGAACTTGCAGTTTCTTCCTTCCAATAAAACTGTGACTCCCTACAACCCTAATGTCATTGCCATCGAGATACAATTGTGTAGAATCCATAGGTATTCGGTCTGGCAAGTTATCTACATATCCCGACCTCGAACAGTCGACTACATTGGCGGACCATGATAGGTCATGGTAACATGTACAATTTGTGGGGCAAGTCATTTCACAATCGCAAGCGTCGAAGTCACAACAATGGCAAAATGGAAAACAGTTAGAATCATATTGACATAAAAATTGATCGGGGGTAGCTTCTTTCAAAAGGACAAAAGAAGTCACTCTATTATACAGTAATTTACACACAACTGAATCCAGGTCCATTAGTCTCGGCTTATTCCGCTCCTGATCCACCTGATATTGCTGGAGCCACTGCATCGTACAATCGCACTGGAATGGATTCTTGCCTATATAAAACTCCGGAATCTCCTTATCGTGGGGTATTGTAGATATCCTAAGGGAGTTTTGGGTGAGGCTTTTAATTTGGTTTCCTGTGAGTTCGACCCGAGTGAGATTTGGTTTTTTGAAGAAGGTGTAAGATTGTACTTTAGAAATAATATTGTTGGAGAGGTTTAGCACTTCGACACTATCAGGTATCGCACTTCCTGTTATGTCCGTTAGCTTGTTATCACTAGCATCAAACACTGTCAGATGTAGTTGACTTTCGATCTCGTAGTAGTTTCCCAACTCAGCGATTTGATTACCGTGAATGTCGAGCCATTGAAGTCCGGTTGGTATCTGAGCATAATCGAACCATTGTAATAAATTCTCGGAGATATTGAGCCACACCAGATTGGGCAGTTTGTCGAACAGTGCGTTAATCTCGGTGATGTAGTTGCCGTCGAGCCGGATCGCCATCAGGTTCGTGTTTGCATCGAAACTGCCTGCTTCTACTCGTTGAATTTTATTACTGGACAAGTTAAGAATCCTTAAAGCTGTCATCTTATCAAAAACTCCCTTTGACACATTACTGATGCTGTTTTCTGTCAGTCTCAAGCCCACGAGCTTCTCCATGCTCGCAAACGATGTGTTGAATATCTCTGTGATTTGATTATCTCCTAAATCAAGTGTTTGTAACTGAGGAACTTCGTTTAGCACTGCAGGAATGTCGTATAACTTATTACTATTTAAATGAAGGTCTTGTAAACTAGTAGAGTTTCTGAGAGCCTCTGGATCTATGTATTCTATCAAATTACTATCTAAAGATAGAACATTGAGCCCTAATAAGCCGTTAAAGGTATTGCTGTCTATTCTGGTCAACTTGTTGTAAGAAAGGATGAGGGTATGAAGATTACTTAGGGATCCAAATGTGTTTTCAGCGATTGACTGAATGGAGTTCTCTTCTAAACGCAAGATTTGGAGACTGTAAAGGTCTCTAAAGACAGTGGATTCTAGTTTGGCTATGTTGTTGTTGGATAGATTTAGCACCACGAGTCTAAGTAGTCCAGCGAACGTTGCAGTGTTGATCCATTCATCTGTCAGTTCGTTGCCGGCCAAGTCGAGGATAATCAACTCTGTCAAGTCATTGAAGAGACCGGGGGCAAGCACGTTGATCGAGTTGTTCTGTAGATGAAGCTCTCGCACTTCTCGCGTCTCGGAAAACAATTCGGGGGGAAGAGTGACTAGTTTGTTGTCGGCCAAGTTCAGGGACGACAGGGAGGTAAGGCCGTCGAGAGCGTGGTCGGCTATGAATGAAATAACATTGCCTTGTAAATTTAAATCCTGTAGCCTCATTAATTTAGAAAACACAGCCGGAGGAATGGCGTCGATACTGTTGTTGGACAGGTCTAGAATTTTAAGGCTGCTACCACACGTTGGAAAGGTCGGTGAACTGCCAAATCTCAATTTTTCTAAATCTCGAATTCTATTTCTAGTCAAATTGAGATACTCTAAGCTGTGCAGCGGGCAAAAAGCCGCCTCGGGCAAACTCCAAATATTATTTACACTTAGATCTAACCTCTCTAACAAAGTTAGTTCTTCCGTAAAAGCGTCTTTCTCGACTTCTAACGTCATGGCAGACCAATCGGTATTATGAGTCCTGAGAGTGAGATTCTTCAGTTGCCTGAGGCCGCGGAACGCACCCGCTGTGAGGTTAGCAACCTTGCAATACTCTATCGATAAGTCTCTGAGGTCGGTGAGCGTTTGAAAACTCCCGGGTGTTAGGGAACTTTGGAAATAAAACATATCGGCACATTCTATCCTCAACCTCACTGTGTACTGCGGCTGGATGACACTGAAGTTGGTGTTTTCCAGCTCCGAGTTGATGGTCCGCAGATGGCACACTAGGGCGACCTCCTGGTCGGGGTCCTGGGACGACGTTACCTCCTTCTCTCCTTCACTGGTAACGGCTAACCACTTGCATTCGTCCGGCGCTTGGTAGCGCAGCGCCTTGCTGAGGGACGCGGTCAGCACCCCGAACACTGCGCCGAGCAGCACGGCGAACACTACGGGACTGGAGCGCATCGTACTGCGTCTGCGCACTCACGACACCATCATCGCACAACTGCGCGGCGACACTTCACCATGTCTCCGCCACTCAACGCACTCATTCGTCACTGATACTGTCACGCGCGCGCGGTGTTGTTGAACGTGCGCTCGACTGCGCGGTCTCACTGCGACTGACTGGCCTTGTTCGCTGCTGCTGCGCAGTCCCCCTCTCCTCCACAAGCGCCCCGCCACGGCCCCGTGAAGTTCCCGGTTTGACGGCCAGACGGCGCTCGGGTCGCTCGCTTCGCTCGTCTCTGTTGACGTGCAATTAGAAGGTCACGAAGAGGGAGTTTTAACACCCACTCAACGGCCCCCACCCCTCCTCATCTCTCGACTGAGGTACTGAGGAGTGACAGAACCTCTTCTGGCCCGGTGGTGATCGGACCAACTCCTACAATCATCACCTGTGCTATGTATATTGTTTGGGTTATTTTTGTTGAATAGCTATTACAGTACATGCCTCATAAGTACAGGATATAAATCATATACAATTTTACTATACAATATTTTGGGAAAACACAAATTATAATTATGTTGTTTGAGGACGTATCTTAAATTAAATAAATAAACCTTTAATAAAACCATTAATAAGAAATAACAAGTCATCAAGATAGTATGTTTACAGAAAGTAGCGCCTAACTTCACAAAATGTTTTTAAATCATCACAATGCGATTTTATTCAACCACTGTGGGACTAACTATGTAGGTATCTATTTAGTTATTTTGTTATTCCTTGGGATACACATAAAATAAGGGATCGCATTCACTTTCGAATAATCTTTGGCTAAACGGCTGATCGGCGGAGTTACAGTGCAGCCGTATGCTGATGTTGATTGAGCTGATCAGCTGAGCAGCTGAGCGGCTGAGTAGCTGAATAGTTGAGTGGCTGAGTGGCAGGGCCGGTAGCCAGCCAGCCAGGTCGAGGTATACAACACATGCGGGCAATCACACACCGGGTGAGATTAGAGCGCGAGAGCCGCCTTTACTGCGACTAATCATAGACGAGCCGCTCACAACTGGCAACACTCGCCACAACCTGTTGTTGCCCGCTATTGTCTCACCCAATACCCAATACCCAGCCTTTGTAAATAGCTCACTGTGCAACGTCTGCAGAAACGAGGTTACACATTGAAACGAACTGTGTGGTTTTACGTTAATGAGCGCATAACTGCATTGTCTTTTACGCTCGCGTATGTTTAAAAGCGTATGACAACTTAAATCATAATTTCAAGACTATTTGTATTGTAATAGTATTTCTATTCGCTTGGGTCTCTTCACCTGCTTAAATCTAGGCACCAAACTAGGCTCAAAGCCGGTAATAAGTTGCATTTTTATACTGTTGACTGGAAAGTATAGTTAGTTCTAATTTATACTGTAATACCAGTTGTAAAATACTACGTTGTATTGTTGTATTGTATTGTTGTATTGTTGATATAATACAGCCTAAATAGCAGATTTATACCTGTTACTTATATACCTTTAATAATATCAATTGAAATATTAGTGTGGACTGAGCTGAGTATGAGTACATATCAGCAACGGTAAAAAAAACTCATTGGCAAATTACAGCACAAAAACCCAAACTTAAGGGTAGTTGACACAATCAACATGGAAAACCTTGGTGATCCCCAAGGATCAGTGTTAGGTCCACTGATATTTTTGTTCTTACAATGCAGTACAATTGTTACAATATAATGCAGCACACAAAACATTGCGCAGTACCCACATGTCTAAACCAAAGTAAATGATATTAGACGTTCCACAGTCGTTCCAGAGTCCAGTGTTCCAGTGTTCCAATGTTCCACGCACCGAAGCACCTCTCTCCGCCATTCGCCTCGAGCGTTCCGATGTTATTTATAGATTACTCGCAGAGTTATTGCCTACTGGTAAATCTTATTAATCAACAGTCCATTTTAAATCAGCCTAGTTGCTGTGCGCTTGCATATTTCAACTGCCGCGTGAAGATAGAATAGTGATTGCAAATTCTCCGCCTGCTCTTCTGCCAGAGGCGTTGCAGCGCAACTAACATGTACATGTTTATAGAGTCCAATAACATACGGGGTGTTCTCGAGTACTGTAGAAATGTTTATTTACCATTGGTCGTTACATCTTGGAATTGAAACTACGGCATAACAAGTTTCTATGTTAATTGGGCAAAGCAACGCTTTGTTTATGATAGCATTTAGGGGAGAAGAACATGGTACAGCAAGAAAAGCTCTAGGCTACATACAAGTATCTTTTCGTAATCGTAGTGTTCTTAATTTTATGTTTGCTTCTGCAAATACATATTTCAATATGCACTTTGGAATACATAGTAGGCCTATTACTAAACCTTATTTAAAAGTGTTTCGTAAAAATTTATTGTTTCAAACACATTTCTTTTACCTACAGTCTGAATCTATAGTAATAATCCTGGCTTATTGGTGTCATAAATTAACTAAAGGAACGACGTATAGTTTTCCGGAAATTATCGCACATTAACGATTTATTACAAGCATTTAGCTCCTGAATAGCCTGGGATATGATGGCTCAATCCATAGCTTTATGAGAAATATTATTTATTGGTACTGCATCGTAATACTAGTCGTAAAATCAATGTAATTTCTCTGTGACGACTTTAGTGGCTTACTTTGGGTATAATAATTTATTAACATAAATTAATGTCAAATGTAAGTAATTTAATTTAGTAATTTAATAGCGATTTTGTTCTATATATGTTGGGATATTTTAGCTTCTCCTAAATATACAGTTGCTTTTGGCCATGTTACTCATAGTTCTTTGATAAATACCATTTCTGTCAATTGCAAACTATCTGTATGCATTATACTTTTAGTTACATGCTACATTTGAATCTGAGAAACCCAGTCACATCATTCTTGAACATCTGAAAATCATTGGTGATTTACGGGATTTGAACCAGAGCCGGAATACCAGAGGTCCTGTGCTGTGGCCCCTAGACCAGTCAGTTTGCATGCCAGTAGTCAGTTGTTAGTTGTTGATGAGTTGCAGTGAGTGTGGACACTCTAATTATTATGTCTATGCAAGCCTTCGCACTCTGGCGTGGCGTTCGCTAATTAACTGGGAACAAATCGGTTATGGCATTCTAATAACATATTTAACTCCATCTTGGCTTCTGCCCAGGCCACTCGGTAAGTGCATGTCAGGCAAAACGTTTGCCGTGGTTTTTCTGCTGAAGGCTATTTGTAATACCAGTGTAAAAGAAGATTTGCCCTTTTCTAGTGAGGTTGCGTCGTTTAATTTTAAGTTTTAGTTTAAAATTATTGAACTAAAAAATATTTTTGGATTTACTAGAACCATTTAAAGAGTATTTGTTACCCTACATCTTGTTGCACAACAGTTTTAGCTTAGTATAACTTTTATAGGAACAAACTCGTATTTCTATTGCACGTACAATGTTAATGCGTCAAACATCTAGCAAATCCTAATTACAACCTTTTTGCCACTGCACAGCATTTTTCCTTAACATTCTTCAACAGCCAGAGAACAATTATTTCCAATAAGATTTTATAAAATATAACACATCCAGCATTACACTTAAACAAAAAATCTCTAATGAAAGGTTTTTTTTTTATACAACACCGTATTGAAGCAGGCAACTTTAAGTTGAACACTCATGCTTGGTTATTAACATAATATATGTTTTTATGTTACTTTTGCTGTGTAAGATTGATAAGACCTGATTTCTTTACTGCGTTGCTTTTTTTGCAAAGAGTTGTAACTTGGCAATTTAACACTAGTAGATAGAATGTCAAGGTTTCAATTTTAACAAAATGCAGAAAACTCTAAACAGGAGCTTCTCCAAACACTCGAAAAATGTGCAACCCCTGATTCAGCTACTAGCTCAAATTTAAAACCTCGCACACTTACGCTAATGTGTGAAATTGCCGCGTCTCGCGTTACGAATGTCCAGCTACGTTGTACAAATTGCTATGGTCTGCAAATGTGAATAGGTAGGCCAATGTTTTTTAGCTGACGAGTTACTGGATTGTAATTTGGTATTTGTAGTTTTAATGGCACAAACAACCCTAAAAGTCCTTATCAGAATCAGTGATTTTCTGCATACCTTAAATTTAACTAATGTCTAATGTCAATACATTCCATAGATTCTCTAGCTATGTGAACAATGTTGCAGCGATATCCTCGTTCTTTCTCGTTTTTTCCTCTTCATTTAAATAAATATGCTTCGCTTAACTAATCGTGCTTAACTTAACTTTGATGTCTAGAAACTACAATTTTATTTCTCAAAGTACTTAGAACGAGTTGTCCCGAAGGCTGGAAATTGAATTGGAGTGATATCCCAAACTCGCCAACTCGCCAACTCACCAATGCTCAAATCAAGAATACTCTGCTGTATCGTAATACAGAATGTGTATGTAAAAATATGTACATTCCATCATTAACCTGTTGCTTGTAATTTTGTTTCCTTGTGTCCCTGTTTCTCAAACTAATACATTTAATTCTTAAGCATGCTCCCGTCACCTCTTGCAAACCCACTTGAACACTATTAACTCAAATCCTACCCTTTTACTCATGCATCAATTGAAACACTCGTGAAATCGTCTGCAATCGCAAGTGTGCAAGTGTTAGATCGTTGCTCAACAAGTACCGATGACTGCCTCCTGGAAGGCGGTCAATCGTGAGTCTTGAGTCGGTCACCCCCTCTGGCAGGATCGTCACCTCACACCTCAGATAACAGGATAAGAGGTGAAGGGACAAGTGGGATAACGAGGCTTGGAAAAGCAGAAGGTAACACATGCTTGCGAAACCTTGCGTTTCTTGAGTGAAAACAGTGAGGTAAATGCACGATTCTGCTGGAATGAATTTGACTTTCTAAATGTTCAGGGAGACTATTTGTAATTTGTTTGGAATGAAAAATTGCAGTTTTGAATCGGCATGGTGGGTAGCTGAGTGGTTAGCCGGTTCAAATCATAGAAAAGTCAGTGTTGGGTCGAAACTGAACTCATCTGCCCTTGATCATTTAAATTTAAATAAAAAATATCCCTGGCCAAAGAAGCAGCTGGCGTTAGTAAGCAACAAAGCCACCCACATCTCACTCCATTACCACTCATCTCATTGGCAGATTTGTATTCCTGTCTAAATACATTGT